CAGTAAGAATAATGAAGTAGTGCAAGCATTAATGATTAGTAGAAACTTATGTTATTAAGAAAGTGTAATCAGTAGTCTGATAAGTAGCAATGATTTGTGTACGGTTTGACTTAATCTTTAAGTGTACACAAGAAGAAACCGTTTATCATATGCTGAGGAAAGAGATGAAGGTCAGTTGAACATCACAGAAATATTTTTGTCAAAGTTGTCTAATGACCAGGTGCAAGAATGTTGTAATTAACTGTGTAATAATTCAAGAAAAGATCAAAGTGTTAGTTCATTATGTACTGTGTAGTTTTAAGTATAAAAACTAAAGACTTGCTGAGCTGGGAGGCAGAAGCAAGAGAAGAAGCAGAGAGCAGGAGGGAGAGGGGAGAGGGCAGACAGCAGAAAGAACAGACAGCAGAGAGCAGAGGGCAGACAGCAAGAGAGGAAGCAGAAGCAATGGCAGGAGCTAGAGAGAACAGCCAGACAGCAAGAGAAAGTTGAAAAGCCTCTTGAGTTGTATTCATTTCTTCGTCCGACGATTTTGCGTATCCACTCGTGTCCCACGACCCTCGCGGGAGAGCAGGCACTCCCCACAGAAATGCTTTTTAAAAAAACTAAATTCTTACTCAGAAAGTCTACTACATTTTTAGCATATATAAGGAATATACCTCTTTAGCACTCAAAAAATGTTTGACAAAGCTTACTTAATAATAAAAAACAAATTTCAAATTGTTTAGCTTCAAAATGTGTTGAACTAAACCTAGATTTTTCAGCACCACAACCCCAGCCTTCTTGAACTACCCCAGGGTCTTCCCAAAAGAGAGGACACACAAGAGAACAAACAAGATGGTGGATTGGGTGGAAGTTCAGTGAGGAGCTCTGTCAGCAGCAACACAGAATACCAGACCAAGCAGGTTCAGGGGATGGTTCCAGAACTCTGAACCACATATAAAGGAATATTTAGAAGGTTGGAAAGCTTACAGCCAGGGGAATTTATAGCAGAAGCAAGAAATCCATTGCTTTCTAATTCAAAACACTCAGCTACTCCATCTTGGTTAAGACTGAGTAGGGAAAGAATCAGAGCAGACACGGATGCAAGACAGAACTGCAGAGATAAGGGTATGGACATTCTTCTTTTTTTTGTTTCTGTTCATTGGTCTCTTGCTGACTGTGCACTTCCATTCTGGTGACTAGAGGGGTGCCTGAGCAAGTGAACACCTCACCCCCACCCTGGAGGGTTCTAATATACATGTGCACAGAAGTCCTCAAAATTTAAAGGTACAGTTTCCAATTAAAACCAAATGGCAGTGCAAAATGGCCACAGCTGGCCCAGAACTGTTTATCACTAGGAAAAAGGCCTGAGCAGGAGTTGTGGAGTGGGAAAGGCAGACTAAAAAGGAAACAGGCCGAAAATTAAATCCTGAGTTAAGTCATAACAACCAACAGAGGCCATCTTGAAATTTCTCAGGAAGAGGAGTGAAAAGGGAAGCCCATGTCCTGATCACATCTACCTGGAGGCAATCTGAAAGCATAAAAAATACCAAAATACACACCCTGAATATCCCTCAAAAACCATATCAGCACATGTCCAGAAACAAGATAAAGTGACTGAGGCAAATGAGCTGGAAGTAGACCTACACTCCACACTGGAAGATGGGCAGGCTTTTTTTTTCCCCTAATGTTTTATTGTGAATTATGTGATAGTTTACATGGGAGAACATTAGTTTTACATTCATCCTATTGTATATCATTTCATTGCTATGGTTATAATCCCCTCCATGCATCATCAACCAACCAAAGGGTATACACTACAAGCCTGCAAGATGGGCAGGCTTTGAAAATGCCTGAGAAGGAACTGAGTAAAATGATTATAAAATGTATCAAAACGCTATACAATGGAGTTGAGAAAAATAAGGAAGAAGTCAGGAAAGCGCTACAGGAACAATCAAATAAGATAGATACAGCACTGGAAACAAATAAAACCTACAGAGAGGGCCAAATGATTAATAATAGAATATCATAAATGTGATAACACACTGAAAGGGCAATGAAGTAGAATGAGAGAGATGGAAGGCAGAACCAGTGAGCTAGAAGATAAATCTCTCAACACTACAGATAGAAGAGCAAGTACAAAAAAGGATTAAAAATTCTGAAGAAGGCCTAAGATTCATGTTGGGCAACATGAAATTATCAGCATTCTGGAACAGGAAGAATCACAGAAATCCACAGAGGAGATAGTTGAAGAGCTTCTGGAAGAAAATCTCCCTAACATCCTGAAAAGCGAAAAGATAAGCATTCAAGAAGCTCAATGAACCCCAGGAAGGATAGACCCTAGAAGACAATCACCAAGACATATAATAATCAAGCTCTCCAAAATCAAACATAAGGACAGAATCCTGAGAGCAGCTAGGGCACAAGAAGGGGAAGGGGAACGGGAAGGGAAGAACAAAGCAGACAGGAATACAATTAGGCAGGTTTGCATGGGCTAAGTGAGACAGAGGTAATTAATGATGTATGTACAAACTTGGAACAACAGGGCTCTGGGATACAGGGATTGAGACATGGTTGGAATGGGCAAAAGCGGGGAAATAATGTTAAGATGCTTGGCTGTCTTTTGAATCTTGGCATATCATTATAAAATAGACACTTGAGGGGGAGAGAAATGAATAGCCAGAAATATCACCATAGAAAGCTTGTAAGTCCATCTTCTGCCTGTAACTGATTGGAATACTTAAAATGGTGCTACAACGTGCCCAGTGAAGGAGGCTTCCTGCGGAGCCTCTGCATTACATAATATCCTAGGTGAAATCCTAAATTGCATCCAGAATCTTCTGAGGTGGGAAATTTCCACTTTGAAGGACAAGCAGACCAGCCTGTGCTGGGGACAGCATACGCAGACCCTGGGTTGATCAGTGGCAGCCCCATTAAACCACCTCTGAATATAATCAGTTTAACCCAGATGCTCTTCT